TTACTCCCTGGAGGAGCTGCCCTGTGCAGCTACCTCGCGAACGCCGGTGCAAACGCCGGCGTGCCCTTACAGAGCGTGCCTGTTTGCACGCGCTGTTCGCGGACGCTGCCCACGCGCGGCTTGGGAACGTGGCTCCCTGTCCGGCGAGCTAAGGCATCGCCGAAGGGCTTCCCCTCCGGATCCGCCTCAGCTGTGCTGCGCTCTCTACCCCACTTACCTTAGGGGGGAATCAGCTGTTGCTGCCCCCACCGCTGGTCTCCTCCGCTGCTGCTGCTGCCGCCTCCGCTGAGGTAAGCAGGCACACGTGTGGGTGGCGCATGTGCACCCTGCTCCCTTCGCTCCTGCTCCCCAACAGCTCTGGGCTGACTCTCATTATTTCAGAAACAGACTAACTACAGGAGTGCAGGCTTTTTCCATCAATTTTTTATTTTATTTTTGCAAGGATGTAGAGGTTTGAAAAACTCAGATACAACATGTTTGTCTCATGTTTATAATTCCAGACCCTGTATTAAGGCTACCTTTACAGAGGGGGAGCTGGGTTTCTTAAACATTTCACTTTTTCTTACTCTAATCGTCCATGTCAACAGATCTATTCTCTGTTTTAAACATCAGGATGGATAAGGTCTCTGGGGTCATTAAGTTCAGCCACTGCTATCACAGGAGGTATCCTCATGTGATCCTTTTTCATAAGCTTGAACAAGCACCATTTTATACTGGTAGGTTTTTTTGCCTCCATTGCCCAAGTTCCAGAACATCACTGCTGGAGATGATTAGAAACTTTCTTCTAACTTCCACCCTGAATCTATTCATGGTCACCTGTTTCTGTGACGGTATTTATCCTGTAGCTAAAATCATCCTCTTTCAGCCTTTGTTTGTTAGGCCAAGGAACCAAAATGTGCTCTCTTATTTGCTGTTTTCCCCCATAAGATGGACTTTATCTTCCTTGATATCCTGGTAGCCTTTTCTGCTCCTGTGCCTATTTGAAATATATCTTGAACATGTATTTTATATGCAGACCAGAATTTTGTATGCAGCTTTCCATGTTAGGCCTTGCTGGTGTTTTGTACAGTTATTCCCTATCCTTCCTGAAAATACCTTCCCTGATGAAAACTTAGATAGTATCTGTTCTTTTTCACTGTTGCATCAAATTTGTGATTTGTAGGCACTCTGTGTTCAACTAGTATGCTGCATGACCTTGCATGTCTATGTATCAATTCTGACATTATCATAGTCCTCTGAGTTCTGGTCATCTGGTTCTTCCAATATGGCATCTGGATTCTCCTCCCTATGAATTATGCTTTCCAACTTTTCAGCCCTTTGCCTGTTCCTTCTTTTTGGAGAATGATATTAATCAAAATATTAAATGAGATCTATCCCAAGACCAATCCTTGAGAAACTCATTAGAAACCTTTTTCTGGTCCAATGGTTCCCTTTTCAACACAACTTTTTAGCCACTTCCCTTTTAATCAAGTTCCTTAGAACAATATGGCTACAACTTGGATACCTTTGCCCATCTTAAAACTCCTATATTAATTTATTACCTTCTCCAGCATAAGTAGTTTATTTCCTCTTTGGCAGTGTAGAATGTTCTACTGAAATCTGGATCATATCTACTGTAGTTTCTCACACATAAACCATGACTTTTTCCCCAAAACCAGCTGGGGAAAACTGAGGTGTGCATTGTATACAAGGAAAAGGCCTCCCTGTCGGTCAAGACGCTTTGTGTGGAGCAGTGAAAGCATTTAATTGCTCCTCTTCTCTACTTCCACATCCCCTCCTCCACTTAATGTTTGGACCCATGCTGGCACACATGGTTGGCCT